GCCTGGGGCCCCCAAACTATTCAAGGGTGTCCCCCTAAGGTTTTTCAAAAATTCAGCTCCCAAAATAACAAATCGCGAGGGGTATTTCCCTAAGGTTTTTCTAAGATTCGGGTCCCCAAATCACAAATCGCAAGCGGTGTCCCTGTAAGATTTTTGTTAAATTCGGATCCCAAAATCACAAATCGCAAGGAGTGTCCCCCTAAGGTTTTTCAAAAAATCAGCTCCCAAAATAACAAATCGCAAGGGGTATTTCCCTAAGGTTTTTCAACAAATCAGCTCCCAAAATCACAAATCGCAAGGGGTGCCCCCCTAAGGTTTTTATAACATCCAAATCCCAAAATCCGACGTGTCAACAGTCATGGGGATAAGGCGGGTTGGGGTCGCCATTCTCGTAGTTGTCATCGCTTTTGGGCTCTGACATCTGTTTTTGTCTGTCCGACGTGTCAACAGGGTCTTCTTGCAAGCAGGATTTACGGGTGCACTCTAGGCAGGGGTGAATGGGCAAGGGAATCTTTAGGGTTTCGGTGCAATGGACATATAGGCAAAACATGTTAAGGGTTTGGAGATCCCTGGAGTCAGGTGCAGAAGGGGTATAGACAAAGGATCGTTTTAATGGTGTAGGCGTCCTTTGAAAGGGGTCGAGGGTGGGCAATAGGTTTTGGGTCCCTTTGGTGGGCGCACAGGCAAACGGATGTTTGTCGGATTTGATCATGCTCTTGCTTTTGATTAGTAAGGGCGCCCCCCCAGCCACCCCCCTTACTAATGACCTAGGGCCATTATTCTAGGAAAGCCAGATTCCAGTCCTCCGCCAGACAGTTGCTGTGGTTCCCAAGACGTTTCCCAACCTTTTTGGGCTGCTCCCTGACCGTTTCTGAGGGCAGCTCCCAGACCGTTTCTGGGCGGCTCCCAGAAGCCTCTAAAGCCTTTCAAGTCGAGCTCCTGAATCTAGTTAAGAATTAAATTCAAAGCTACCCAAATCATTTGTAAATCAATCAAAGCCTTTTTAAGATCAAAACCAGCGCCTTTAATTCCTAATAAGCTTTAGGCAAATCAGCCATCAACATCAGCTCTGCGTTTCTCATTCTCACAGCAGCCCAGTGAGCGGGTCTCCCTAAACCTTAAGTTTTCAAGGTGAGCTCCTGAATCTAATTCAGACGTAACTTAAAATCTACTCCAAATGATTTGTAAACCGATCAAAACCTATTTAGAATCAAGTAAGAACACTTTGAACGTCTTTCTGTTGCTGCTTGGGGTTAAGAACTGCTTTTCTTAAAGCCTAGGGGGTTTAGGGCCCAAAAGTGCCTCCGCCTTTATACTTTTCTTGAATCCCTCAATTGGCCCGAAAAGCAATCTTTAAATCTAGGGAGTTTTATTTTAATCACAGCACGGATTAGGGTTGGTGAAGGGAGGAGTTTTTTCCATTTGGCTATGGTGGAATTGCAAAAAAAGCTAACCCCGGAGGGGCAGCCTGATGTGTTCTTGTAGGGGCCCCAAACGCTTTTCGGCAGGGCTGAGGCGACGAAAAGAATGCTAAGCCTTAACCATGAAATTGTCCTACTAATTGTCCCTGCTGTGACAGACAAGTTCTTGCGTCACTTCAAATATATCGTGATGCGGTTGATGGATAGAATTCTGCATGAGCTTCAGCGTGCTGCAGTATGGTGTGGATGACGATTGCAATTTTACATGACCTTGTGTCCACTATACTGCATGATGCCGCCCAAGATGCAGGCAAACAGGCACCCCGCTAACAGAGTAGTGACGACAGTCTTGGTGGTGAAACGCTATAGGCGTCAACGGGCTCTTCTTGCTCGCACGCGGAATTGTGACCAACAACGTGCAAAAAAACGCAGTGTGAGCTGCAATCGAGCTTTTGTAAATAGTGGGTTCGCCATGGTAAGGAAAGCAGCGTCAGACCGAAAGCTTAGCAAAAAGGACACTGGTGGCAATCTTCATTAAAACTGCTGCTTAATTCATTAATGCACAATAAATCGCAAATTTTGCCATAAGTGGGCACCTACCTTTTCTTTTTTTTCTCTCAGGAACGCGGCCTTCGAACCAATTTCACACGTCTCAACCTGAAGGTTCGCCTTTACCATGTGCACAACCACACGGCCACTCATGGGTGCTAGTCTCCCGTTTCATAATACCTGGCCATGCCCAGAGCTTCTTCCCTCGACCAAGATTTATTCAAGGCATGTGGCAACCTGGAAAACCACGTCTGGCCGTTAATTAGGGCAAGCTGTGTGGGACCTGGAGTGCCATGCGGAACTTATCCCGTGCCGCCTAGCCCAGCCAGAGAATACTGTGCAGGAACCCGTATATGCGTATGGTATTCTGCGGTGCCAACAGGCCCCTTAGCAAACGAATCAAGTTGAGCGATGTCATGTGGTGTTTGCCCTTTGTTTGCGACAATGTTGCACCTCACTCGGGGGTCGGCGCATGCTTCTTTTTCATTGGCCAACCTGCAAGTTTCGCTCGTGTTTGTACACCCCTTTGACATAAAGAAGCAAACGCAAACACCACTCAATGAAACTGCGTGGCATTGTGCGGCCCTGACGCAAATCTATGTCCTGTTACGCGGCATCCCGCATGTCAGGTCATTTTGTGGTGATGGGATTCTTCCTTTAGCCTGCTTGAGTGGACTTGCTGGCTTGAATGCTTGCAAATGATAGCCATACTCTTTCTTGCTTTTCGATGCTTGATTGGCAGAAATTTTGCACAGGCATGGATTCTCCGTTTGGCCTCCAACAGAACCTAGAAATAGGTCGACTGGTGAGCTGGCCACATGCTTTTGTTTGGGTCTGTGCTGTCAGAGCACGGATGCTTGAGGGTGAGGTGATCCTGAATAGCAAAAACTTGAAATTCAGATCTCGAGGGTAAGCATTCTAAGGGATTTCAGCCACTTGAATTCTCAACCCTAGCTCAGCTTCAGCGGGTGGCGACTAGCTTGAACAAGCGTTGCCAGTAAGTCCCGGATCCGTAGCAGGCCGCGGTGGTGGCCATCAGGACATTGTACAGTGGACAGCAATTGGACAGAATCAAAAAAAAGGGAGAAGTGCTCCAGCCCCGGCGGCATTTGTGATTGTCGGTGCTTTTTTGATGTCCTTGCTAACGGAACCCACTTTTCTCATTCGCTCTCCACTGCAAGAACGGCTGTTTTGAGTGGTTTTTGCTTGCCATCATGTGGATATGCGAGACGCGCATCTGCTGCAGATTAGCCACGTTGTGCTGGAAGCACAGCCCACTAACTCAGCATTGAAGGGTACTACCGATCATGTTTCCTTGTGGCTCAAGTTACGTTGGGCCGGCTATTCCAGACAGAGGAGGCAGTTGGCGGATTGCAGGCTGGCGAATGGTTTAAATGCACGTGCTGCGAATAGGGAACTGCTTCCTGGACAGTTTTCCAGCATCAACTGGAAGCTCGAGTATGTTCAAATGGTTGTCTTGCCAGGATCCGAGATGAAACGTGACTACGATCATCTATTCAAACTAGTGCCCAGGCTGCAATAACAACACGCAGCAGCCAGTGCAGTTTCAGGCAGTTGCAGCAGAAAGTTGTTCAGATCGGAGGCATAAACTCCTATAAAGGGGATTTTTAAAGAAGGCTCTCATATCGATGGATGTTGCAAAAGCTGGTGCGTGCGTCCAGGATTTTGAAGGCACATTGTCCGCCATAGCTCGCAATCTCAGAATAGGCCTCCTTGAAAGTATGGGGCGAAGTGCGGCTAGCAGTGCAAAAGAACGGCAAGAGCTCGAGATGTGCTGGCGCCGGGAGCGTGTAAGTAAAAGGTCTGGTTGCGCGGCAGTGATTGGTACCAGAACAGAAGGTTCAAAACGTTTCGGACACCGCTTAATTGTTTTGTTTCTGAGTTTGACCTTGATCAAGTTGGCATGTTCTGCACACGCATGCCAGCGTGTGCGTCGCCATAAGGCACCGTGACTTTGGTTGGATCATGCTGGCGCTCACTGTTTCACTGTTGTTCTGCCATCTGTCGACAGGATCAAAGTAGTTCTCCAATGGTGGGCGTTGGGCGACTGAAGCGTGCTTCACAGCACGACCAAGAATCCTGACTGCTTCTCTATATGTCAACGTGCTGCTATGGTGCTGTGGCGACAGATTGGGCGCGATACTGTGAATCAATCCAGATATTGCCTCCCCTTATCTGTTTCAGACTTGATTGTGTGTAACCAGACGTTCTGCCATCCAGCAGTTGCTTGTGGATATTGGCCCAGTTTTCGGGCACCCTTGCTGAAATTAGACTCTTGCACAGCAAGCTGTCGCTCAGGACTGCATGTTCGGGTGTGTGTTGCGTGACTCTTTTGTTTCTGAGCTTCCTGCTCCCAACTCAGCACGTTTCCAACGACCGGGTCATGAGCACCACCTCTATTGTTCGGATTTATTTAGCAGTCATTACTTTGTGAAACTGAGTTGAACCCAGCATTCTGCAGCCTTGGAGGTGCTCATTGGTGATTCAGGCGCTGGCAAGTCCTGCCTCCTCCTGCGCTTTGCAGATGATGCCTTCACAGATAGCTGCTTGCTTGCGGCTGTGAGTGTCTCGAAGTTGCGCGTGCTGGCTGGGCCGGCTTCTGTTGAGGCTACATCACAACAATTGGTGTTGACTTCAGATTCAAGACCATTCCTGTGGACAAGAAGAGCCTTGCATGCACTACAACTCTGCCTGTTTTGTCTGGGTTCCTGGCAGGTTGGTCTCAGCCTAGCACATGTAGGGATTGTTTCGGGAAAGTCATGGATGCTGTGACCTCTTGCACAGAGGCCGCATAGAGGAAGGGTTCAAGCATTCGCGCCCCACATCAAAAACTGCAAAAATGAGTTTGGAAAAGAGCCCACAAAGATGCAGAGTGCAATGTTCTTTCCAACCTAAAGTTTCCACGTTTCCATCTGAAGATCAGGAAACGGTGTTTTCATATGCATGTCCAGGGACATCCGGTAAACGCATGCATGCCCAGTGCTGGCTGGTTTCTGCGCGCACAGGCATACAGACTGCAACCTGCGACCACTGTGGCCTTCAAAAAGAACATGCAGTCGTATGCTGTCACAGCGTCGACATCACAAAAGTTTAGACACAAATCACAACGGTATTTTATGTTCGTGAGCTTGCCACAGCTTAGCTTGTATGATAATCGTGCATGCGAATCCAGCAGTATGGCCAGATATGCAACCACTGACAACTGCAACGCCCCCGGCCGAAAGCTTTCATGTTAGCGCAGATCTCCGGAGCGGTTTGAGCCTTTTCGCATGATAGCACGGCAACAGCATATAATCCTGTTGTGTCACTAGGAACCCTCCCCTGCTCACTCCCCGAGTTTGGTTATCCTGAGCAAGTCGGTATACCAAGCACGATTCAATTAACAACTACATGTGCAATGCATCAAAGTAGAACAAGTTGCATTGAACCTGCACTCTGTTGTTGGTGTTGGTGCAGCCCTCAAAATTGATTTGCCGGTATTCGCGCTGAGCCTGCTGTCCTCTAAGACAGACCCTTCACACTTGAGAAAGGGTCTGAGTTCTTGTTGCAACTGCCTGTTGAGCCTTGAGGACAATCAAGCTCCAGATCTGGGATACCGCAGGTCAGGAGAGATTCCGGACAATAACTAGCGCGCGTCTGGGCTGCAGATGCTGCCGGTGCACCAGCTAGCAATATCCGCTAACATCTTATCATTCTTACATACATGACTTCGATGAAGCAGTCTTTGTTAACTTCATGTTCACTTTCCTTTCGCAGTCTTTTCCACCCAGCCACATGCTTTTGCGCCCGACATGTTCTATGCCTTCTTTTGTTGCATGCGATTCACATCCGCCCAAAACATTGTTGATGGCTATGCCTCTGGACGGCTCCGGGATACCTCTTGGGCACATCCTGACTGCTCCCTGATTGTCAATCAGGATTCTTCCTCCCTTCACATGGTCCAAGAGCGCGGCAGAGCGCGGCAAAGCTCGGATTTTGGTTTGGAAGCGCCCGAGAAGGCTTGGATCTCGTCGGAGAGCGGACCGCAAAGGATTTGGTTTGGAGCCGCCTGAAATGGTTCAGCTTTGGTCTGAGACCTGACCAAAAAATGGGATGGAGCACCGGAGCCGGATTTGTGGTTTGGGGGCCGAGCAGGCTTAGGCTGCGCCCAACTTGCGCCTGTAAAAGGTCATGAAAGGTCTCGGGGCAATCCTTCTCGGGAGACCTTACTTCGAGACCTCGGGAGGCAAGGGCCGGAAGGATGCGTGCCTTCCGGCGGTGGAGTAAGCGAGGCGAGGCTTTGGTTGTTGTGAATCAGCGGCAGCTCCTATCGAACGTCGAGGTCCGGCGGGCACGGGAGTCAAGGCTGTGGGTGGAGATGGCAGATGGAATTGAGGTCTGTCCTTTGTGGGCGCTCCATGCAAACCAAACCAAAAGACTAGATCTCAACACCGCAAGACCGAACAGGTTTTGGGGGGGCTCCCAGACCAACTCCTCGCAATCAAAATGCGCCTAGTTTGCGGGCAGCTCCCCCAGAGCCTGGCAGGGCCTCCTAGGGCAAGAGTCAGAGCAGTCCGACGGCCTCGCAGTAAGCAACCCTTGAAGTGTGGCGAGACAAGTTCGCAAAAAGCAAGCATGACAAGCAGCGCCAGCGTGGAGGGCCGAGCGTCCCTCGTAGTGGGGAGCCTTTTAGGACGGCAGTGGCCCCTTCGCAGTGATTCTGATGAAGCTTGTTGCTGGTATTGGGGGTTCGCAAATTGTACTCAGACCTTTGTTGGGCGGTGATCTTTTGACTCCTGCCCCGGAAGCAGTCTTGCCCAAAATTGGGGCCTGAGCTTCGCATGCGTTTGCGTACGTGTGCTCATGTTCACAAGGTACTATCGAGGTGCTGTGTTAGCCTCAGATGCCCTCGTGTCCATGTAGTTAGTCTTGGGTACCAAGTATTGGAATCTACAACTTTGGCTCAGGATGGCATCATCCTGGTTTACGACATCTGCGACCGGGAATCCTTCAATCATGTGGATGAATGGCTGAATGAAGTCAACCGTTCCCCAGCTGAGTGTTCTTGATTGCTCAGCTTGCTTGCGTTTCTGTGTGCATTGTGTCAATGTTTCGGCGGTATGAGTGCAAGGTTATGTGAATGAGAACACCTGCAAGATCCTCATTGGAAACAAATGCGACATGACGTCTGAGAGGCAGGTTTCCACGGAGGAGGCAAAGAAAAAAGCAGAAGACCAGGCCTCAGACAGGGAGTCAGGATGTTGCAGACCTACAGTTTTCAGTGATCATTCCTTGTCAAGTGAATTCACCTTTTCACGGTCATTCGCTTGTAAAGTGATATCCTCCAGCCAAGTTCTTACCGACTTACTGCCACTTGAGTGCTGCTCATGGATAGCTGGCAGTCTTGATCTGCTTGTTTTGCCCAGGATCTTGGCATTGCATTCATCGAGTGCTCGGCCAAAGACGCAACTAATGTGGAGGACACTATGTGGCAAGCAGCAAGTCAGTGCAGAAACTTCTGTGCAATATCACCTGCTCCGCGAAGCAGACGGCCAACTCGTCTAAGGCCGCTTTCCAGATGATGTCCACAGAGCTGATAGCGACTCTGTGCTTGTTTTAGACCTGCTGAAATTCTGGACCTTCACATCCGCTTTTGAGCTCAGATTTCTGAGGAAAAGCGAGAAGCAAGGCGCACGCCCGCAACGGCCGGCAGGCGGTACAGGCCTGCTCCAGCCGAATCTTACCAGCAACGAGATGTTTGCATGTCATCAAGCACCAATATGCAGCAATGAGAGCTGCTGAGGAAGGAGCGGGGCACTGGTGCATGTGGCTGTGGCCAGGGATAGATGCCCTCACAGCCGAACTGGGTGTCTTGGTTGACGTTCCGATTTGCATAAACCGATTCTGAGGGTCAAAACTTTCTGTAGCGACTGGGAGTCTTGCTCCATGGCCTTGGCCAGGAATGCGGAGCAGTCGGTAGAAGTGTGTACACGCCAACCCATGTCAAGCTTTTTCTGTCCCTACCGCTCCCCACAGATGACGGCTGCTATCTAGGTTCACCATGGCGCGCTGGTGCAGTGTGGACAGCCACGTGCACGCGGACCAAAAAGCTTAAACTCCTCAAATTCTGGTATTGCATCAACTGTGCTTGATATCATGGCAACCCTCAAGCTGCAAACTTAGCCGCATCTAGCCGCCGCCTCTAGCCTTTCTGGATTGCCTCTTCGGTTCAAGGTTTTCCCCGCGCTCCTCCCTGAACTTTTGAGATTTTCTTACGGCTGACGCAGAGGGTAGTATCAAACCCTCCCTGCCTTGTTTGTCAGAGTGCTGCGATCCTTGCCGCGCACTGACACGCCCTGAGCGGGAAGCCTGCGGGAAAAGTAGAGAAGCAAAAATAACACTGGGACTCCCTGCTTTGGCTGCTCCCCGAGGCACTATCTCCGCATCTGTCTTCGTCGATGGCCCCAACATGGACGGTTCCATCCTCACAGCCTGAACTAAAACTTCTTCCCGCGTCTGTGGGATTTCAAAGCCAGCCGCGAAGGTAGTTGGCGGTGCTGAGAAAGGAGGCATCTTAGTTCGTCGCGGCCAGGCCTAGCTGCTCCTCAAAAGGTTCAGAAAGATAGGGTCTAGGGATGTCGTTGAGCGTTTTGGCAGGAGCTGACATCGCAAGCGGTGACAGACCGCCTATCTACTGGTGCCGAGGAAGGATTTTCCACTATTGACTGATGCACAAGTCAGCGGTATAATCTCGGAGAGCTGGAGTGAGATGATGTGAGATGTATATCCTTCAGCATGTTCTTGGCACGTTAGCTTAGACACGGTCTTTGTCTTTGAAACTTTGGGATATCGACATGAGGACGTTCAAAGGCCTGCCCATCTCAACAGGTTGTCCGCCTCAAAAGGATGCATCATCTCTGGGTAGGGTCGTGAAGCAACATTCTACACTTTCTCAATTGTCAACATCTTCATGCAATGCAGCCAGAGTCTTGAGACTCCGGGACACGTCAGCGGTACGCTCTGACCACATGCTGAGATCCTGAGATCAGCGGGAGGCACCATGGATGTTGAACATGGTGCCTTGAAGGTTGAAGAGCTGCACATCTGTGGCGAGCGCCTTCATTTCCGTCGAATCACCGGCTCTGGCCCTGAGGCCCTTGCTAATCGTTGGATTCAATTCTGCTCAGCCTGACGCGGATAGGAGGGTTGGGTGAGCGTGCGCACCAGTGGCAAGCAATTGCTACAGCGGAAGGCCTGCAGCTGACGGGGTTTTGTTTTTTGGTCTTTACACAGTGGCAGTTGGATGATGTTCGCTGTGCCTAACAGGATGATGCAGACACTGAGCCAACCGGCAACAAAATGGCGTCGAGCTGAGCTGAGCTGAGACGCTGGCACAAATCGAAAGTCTATTGCCCTCCAAGGCCTTGACCCTTCCAATCCAGCACCGTGAAGTAGTTGGACCAAGCTCGGGATACCGCCACCGCTGGGTGCCCGCCAAAGTCGGAGCAGAAACAGGTTCTGCAATGTCCTTCAACATCTGCAAGTCTCCTGCCTGGGCTAACCAGAGGCGGTCAACATTGATGCCTGGCACCCCGAAGGCGGAGCCGCCAGAAGCTCAATTGACGCGAGCGTCTACCAGATGCACACAGATGCAATTGAATTCTCAGGATGGCAAAGAGTTCCAATTCTTGCTGCACCTGATCAAGGAAGAGACGGATAGAAAAAACGCGACTTGGACGCCGTCAGAAGCTGCATGCATCACTGTCCACCCAATTTACCTGGCTGCTACACTCCATGGATGCTGCTGCGTCTACCAGCAGACGGTGTTCGGCAGTGTCAGCCGCCTGTTTGGCGCCAGGTCATGCGTTTCAAATTCTTAGAGGACCAGAAGCGTGCTCTCATCTCTCGGCTTCTGGTGCGTCTGCGCCTGAGTGAATCCATTCAACTGCAAATGTGCATCTGGGCGCCCATCTCTGGATTGCTTCGTACCAGATTGAGATGAGTTGTGACTGGTGACTTTGGTCTTTCATGCCGCTAGCCCATCCAAAACATCTTCTGTTCAGTGCTCCTTCGGAACTCTTTGCAAAAATCGCGCCACAGCGCAGAACACAGTGTTTTTTGTAGCTTCCGGCACTGATTCATTTGTTTTTGAGGTGCGGCGAAACAGATGAATCGAACAACGTTGTGCTGCCTACTTTGTCGGCAGCGGTGCGGGTGCTCGTGGCCGCTGTGGTGGATACCAAAAAGGAGAAAAGAACTCACAAGCTGGAACGCGAAGCCCAGCAAGGTTTCGTGGCCAGGAGATACTGTAGCTCGGATCTAGTACTAGTTCTCGTACTTGTACTAATTAGTGACTACAGTGCCAGTGTTGCTGCTACTGATACTGCTATTGCTGCTATAACAACTACAACAACAACTCCTCCCACTACTACTACTACTACTGCTGCTGCTGCTACTACTACTACTACTACTACTACTAGCCGCCCCCCCTATGTTCCCTTAAATATGAGCAGTGGGCTGTCAAGAGCCTACGAGGAAGAAGGCAATGGTGGAACGTGCCTCACCCACGCAAAATCAGCAAAAATGCTGTAGATGCCAAGAGCTTTTGCATGTCGCTCATCGATTTGACGTCATTATGCCCGCCCCGCCCCCCACTACTCCCCACCCTACCCCACCCCACCCCAGCCCCTCTCCCTGCATCCCCACGCATTACGAAAATACAACACCTTTTGGCATTCCGCGAAAACCAGTATTTCCCCAGTTTTTACATGGTTTCAGCATGCGCAATTTGGGAAACATAGTTGGTAGGGGGTGGGGGCGCCTACTACTACTACTACTACTACTACTAGTACTAGTTGCTCCCCACGCCCTCCCAGCACTACGTTTTACTTAAAACTGATCATGAATTCCCCGAGGAGGCGGCTAGTAGCAGTAATAACGTTAATGTATGTTAATGTAGTGGTTGCTGCCCGGATCTAGCAACAGAGGCTTAAAGAGGCCTTTTTGTAGGGGCCTTTCGTGGTAATCTCTCTGAATATCATGACACTGTTGCTGCGGGCAGTATTTCAGACGCCCGGGTTTTCACCTGCTCGCTCTCGTAGATGCGCGTCTGAGCGCAACATCTACACGCTGTCTGTGCGACTGAACTTGTTCGCGGATTTGCCGCGGCAAGTTCTTCATGGCGCCAGTGTACGGCTGCCATTCCCAGCATAATCCGTCAACAGTCCACAGGCGGCGACATCTTAGTATCACCTCTCCGTGGTGCTTGCCACTCGCGTGCGCTAGTGTCTCTGCCCGTACCTGGCAGCAGAGGGTTAAAGGAGCCATTTTGTAGGGGCTCTACGTGGTCAAAACTTTGAATGCTATGACACTGTTGATATCACTCCCAGCGCAATCGCTTATGGCGGTCGTCGAAGCTCCATCAGCAGCGACATGTCAGACATACCTGGCGATCGAGGTTTGTTTGCACGGAACTACCCCCCCACCCCACCCCCCCCATTGCCATTATTGCTTCAAGGCTTACTTAAGTTGGCGTTGCTGATGCCACTGCACATCTCGTACTGTTGATCGTGTTTTGCTGCTGCTGTGCTGTATCCTAGGCGGTTGCAGAAGCGGTTGCAGAACTTTGGCTGCTTGACATGCTAGTTTTCACGTTCCTCAAACGAGAACAAGGACGACAAAGACTTTGTCATAGTTTTCTGTTGTCGGTCTTGCCTTGTCAGATGCGTTTCTTGTTGAAGTGGCAGTATCAGCTTCTGCTCCCTGTTTTGCTGGCACGATGGCCACTAGCGCGTTTAATGGGATTCTGAGCGTCAGCAAACGATGTTCTCCATGGATTCGTAGACTTCATGTATGCAACTGAATAAGGTGTTCTTCTTGTCAAGGATTTTTCTGATTGCAAAAAAAACAAGTGATGTCAGCGAGGTCAGGCGAGCGCTTCGTCCCTGCGACTTTGCGGCACCATGCAAATGGGTAATGCTCAGCAGCTAAATTGATATTCATTGGCAGTGTGAGGCGGCATTTATCTCGGACAGGGACATTTAGACGGGTCGGGGTAAAGGGCCTCTTGATTCCGAGAACCGCCTTTCTGAGCAATATGGAGAATGTAATTGATTTTCCTCTTGACCTGGTCAAGACTCCTCCCTGGGCGGTTTTCTAGAAACTGGCATGCTGGCAAACCGTTCCATGTTGGCAAGACTGGATGCAACGTCTGACCCATGAAGCAAGAGCAGATTCGGACAGTTCATCAACGATCGTCCTCTACGTACGCAAGTTTGCTGCCTGAGGAACAAGACTAATTTTGAGGACATCGAGATCAAGCGGACAAAGGGGAAGCCTGCACCTCAGCCCGGGCAGTTCTGAGATTTCCAGATGCGAAGGCCTTTCTGTGGTGCTGTCATGAACATTGTTGAGCGGGTGCTGGTTCAAGTGGCTGGCAAACACAGCACGAAGCAAGCCCCATCAGCATCAACATGACCAGCTGGCCCTTCGCTCACTAGCATCAGGTCGTTGCGAAATCACGTTTTTGGAGCTCTACCAAACATCGCGTGTGAATGTGTCTTCCCGAAGGCTCATGAAGGACACGCAATGTGAGAAGTCTCCACATGGCAGGCGTCAGCTGGACCTACGGACTTCCAATGCGGCTATGCTCTTTGCAGCCGGTTGTGGGATTTGAGGCTTTCAGGGTTCATGGCGGGAAGTCGAGCTGCCGGCCGCAGCAGATTCCTGACACAGTCACTGCATTGGCTCATGCATCGGCTCGACGTGTACGTGGCTTGGCCCTGGCTTGGCTGTTTGCAATGCGCTGCTGCCATTTCTTGGCCTGCATGCTGACTCTTACCACCGCCGCACCTGGCTCCACGATCCTAATTCACAAAGTGGCAACTGCGCTTGTTTGGCATGGCTGCTTGAGCAGCTTCTATGACTTCTCTTTGTATATCTGCACGTGTTTGAGCCATTGGGCTCGCGCCGAGTTGGCGCTGTGTTTTTTTCATCAAGCTTGCTCATGCAACTACGGCACAGGTGGAGGTTCTGATGTCAGACAGGGTGCCAGCTAAATTCACGGCCGGTGTTCACGAGGCTTTCCCAAACATAAGCTGGCAAACACAAAGTTGACCTGGTCTGTGTGAAGCTTGAGTTTTCCGATATGAGAATTGAGATGATCATCGACGTTCGTTTGCGTTCCATGTGTTGAGACCTGAGACTGTTGCAGCGATTCTGTTGGTGCCTGGGTTGCGGCGCCGCGCCAGATTTGCTGCATGCGTGGTGGGTTGGGAGGTACTTTTCATTTCGCTGCAGAATTCCGAATCCCTACAATCTTCAGATACCATCAGATACCATAATCAACTGCTTGCATCTCAACATCATGGTGGTGGAGGTGGTGCTGGTGCTGGTGCTGGTGCCGATGGTGCTGATGGTTTTGGTGCTGCAGGTGGTGCTGGTGGTGCTGGCGCGTGCTGGGGCGGTGGCGGTGGTGGTGGCGCGTGCTGGGGCGGTGGCGGT